TTTCCGCGTTTCCGCGCTCATGTAATAGCACCCTGAGGGTGCAAACCCATGCAGCGGAATAGCGTAACGCGGAACGAGAGCGGAACAAATCACGAGCGTTCCGCAGTTTTCGTTACGCGACTTCAATTCTTTCATCTCTCGCAGCCTATTTCGAATAGCGCTGATTGGTTGTTTCAATGACGCATTCTCTTTTCCGCACCGTGTGACTTCACCCTAAATTATTAGTTATTATTCACTATTAAGAGATAAGACAAAACTAGTTAATAATAAAGTGAGTTTTTCTTATTGGAAATATTGATTAAAGATGTTAAAATCTATAAAATTAGTTTTAATGTAATTTAAACTCTAATGAAATAATGACTTGTGATTGGTTGCTCAAAGTCCGTGAAGCATTCGTTACGCTACGTAGGTATTGAGGATTCACGTTTCAACGTAACAAAACTAGTGAAATAACAACATGGTGAGTACAGAGATAAATTATTAGTTATTATTCACTATTAAGAGATAAGACAAAACTAGTTAATAATAAAGTGAGTAACAATATATTAACTTTATCATATATTGTGATTTTATATATGTGATCATTTATATATTTTTGACAGTTACAAGAAAATTGTTACAATGAATTCTAAAATTGCACTATTATGCATTTATAAATATTGGAATAAATGGAGATAATCCCCAATATATAATAACGCAGTCAAAAATAAGTTAATTAAATTATATATAATTTAACGCTTAATATCTCGATTTCACAGGGCAGAGTGACAATTTTGTGCAAAAACTATTTCGCTAAAAATTGTTGAGAAACGCGGAACGCTCGTGATTGGTTCCGCTCTCGTTCCGCGTTACGCTGTTCCGCCGCATGGGTTTGCACCCTAACGCGGAACGAAAGCGGAACCAATCACAAGCGTTCCATACCAACTGCAATTGGTTCCGCTCTCGTTCCGCGTTACGCTATTCCGCTGCATGGGTAGGCATTCTAGCAACTAAAAGCATGACAGAAGAATTACCAAGATATCTAGAAGGAAGAAGGAAAAAGGAAGCGGAAGGATAGAAGTCTGATAGCCAGATTCACAGATGTGGAAATGAGACGAAGGGGAGCCATTACTGGAGAAAGATCGAAGACAGAAGTTGCAGAATATGCTTGATAGAGGAGGAAAGCATGATCCATATATTAAAGGAGTGTGAAGCGACAAAGAATGAACTAGGATAGAAGAGTTTATAAGGGAAGAAGACAGAAGTCTGGAAACGATGAAGATGATAGACAAGGCAAGGAAAGAGGCGGAAGAAAGAAAGGAAACAGAAAAGAAGGAGAACGTTATGCAATTGGAATTTCTTTGACAATAATTATATATAATATATCACGGTTAACGATCTGGTGAATTCGGCTTATTGCAGTCAATTCAGAAGTATTTTTGACACACAGCTAATTAGTCGATGCAAGTTTTCAAGCTCTAAAGCGGGGAGCACAGACTCTTGCATAACGCATAACACGTAATGCATAAGAAAATGTACCAATCAAAGCCCTCCGTTTCCTTCCTTTCCATGAAATAAAGAATTCTGATTGATTGAATTTCTTATGCATTACATGTTATGCGTTATGCAAAAGTCTGTGCTCCCCGCTTTAGACTTGGCGGGTATTTATAGATTAAGTCGATTACGTTAATTTGTGATAAAGGACTAGATTAGAAAGGTAGGACAGAGTAGCGAGTTCACAAATAGATGTCAGATAGCAGTATGTTCATTTGAAATTATTATTGTAGTTTATTTTATAATTTATTATAGTGCAATGAAATGGGATGGATATTACAATGTATAGTGTATTTGTTTGTATGAAATGTTAATTGAAAGCCATCCTAAGCTGCGAGGCAAGGATTAAAATAAATAAATAAAATAAAAAAAATAAATACTAATTATACAGAACTCGGTCGTATTTAAAAAATAAAGTGTTATTTAAATTATATATTTTTAATAAAAAAAAATAAGAATTATTTAGAATTTATTATTTTAAATAACTTCCTTGACCTATTTCTTAACTGTTAGTATACACCTTAGTTTTGGGCTCTCTTACTACACACGTTGGATCATTCGTGTTCTGAATTAATTTTTATCACTTTTACAAATATATAAAAATTATTAAATGATTTTTACGTATATTTTGGCATCTTTAGAAAGTATTTGTAAACTTGTATATTTATAACAATTGTATATGCTCTTGATGGAAGTAAATCGCCGAAATAAATCTATCAAATTAATAGAGATTTCAACGATTTCAGCAATTTATTTCCATCAAAAGCACCGAAAAAAATGGATATTATGTAGTTTATATTCACTTCTTTAGAGGTGCACAGAGGCATTTTTGCGGTTACAGGAAAAAGGCCCTTATATACAAATTATTGTAAGTTTTAATATTTTATGTTAACATAAAAAAAGATGTAGTTATATTTACAGTTTACTAAATTCATTAAGTGGTTTATTAATTCTAGGATTCTGCTAAATTTGTATGCAATGTTTAAAAGAATATCTATGTAATGCGTTCCCGTCCTTATCTAAAAAAGGAGGACAGCAATAAAATAATTTTTCTCTTTTTTATTTTTTAATTATTTAAACTATAGAAAACCCAAAGATAGGATCTTTATGAATAATCACTATACATCTCGTAACAATACTGTCTGTAAAGTTTCAGCTCAATCAGAAGTGTCCCATTCGGAAGTACAGCCATTTATACATATGTTTATCTGACATTACGCTGAGTTTGCGAGTAGTCTCATTTTCATAAGTGGATAGAAGATATACTCTGTCGCTCTGTCAACTCGGTCCCCTGATTATAATAGCCACAAAGCATATCCATGTTTATTGTTTATAAAATTATGACGCTTTGTATTTTTGGAATCTATCGATTGAAAGTATGAAATAATAATTGAATATAAGGAAAAACACAATCTAAGTAAAATATATGTAAGATAAAAAATATGTATTGGATTCAGAAATTAAAAAGTTTACTCATGTCTTTGACTATCACACTGATATTATGGTAGTCATAATGATAACACTTTTTAAACAATATATCTTTTGGAAATATTAGAAGTAAAAATAAATTATGGAACATATTTATATGTAAAATCTGCTATGTGTGCATATATGACTATATTGACTATATTACAATTGATGCTTTGTAAACAGTATAAAACAAAATTTAAAAAATCGTGTGTTACTAATCAGAAATATTCGTAGACATGGCTTATAGTTCGTGTCCATATTTTGTGCGTATAGAAGGGTTAATAGATAGGGATTACTATCTAAAACGCGAGCATGTTCACTCTTAGATTTCTTTCTGATAGAACGAAAAAAAAATTATAATAGATAATTTTGTCTTTTGAGGAACGAAAATATTGAATTGATAATAAAATACTGAAATAATGAAATAATTTATTTTGTATGTTACACACAGTGATGGGTAAGATACTTTTAAAATTTATCTAGATACAGATACAGTTACATGTACGAAAATTTATCTAAATACAGATATAGATATACATATTAAAATGTATACAGGTACAGAGAGATATCAGATACTTTAAAAGTATCTTCAGATACATTTCAGATACTGTTACATTAATTTTATTGTAATAATGGTAATGTATAAAAAAATGTATTAGTTATTAAATTAATCATTTATTCATTCATTTTTGTTACATTTAGACAATTGAAAAAATTTATAATTATCGTAAAACGATTTAGAATGAGAATTATAAGACGATATTATTCATTATTATTCCTCATAGTTTTACAAATTAAAAATGCTTCAAACATTGTGTTTCCAGCTTAACTATACATTAGAAATTCCATAATCTAAGATCACTGGTTGCGTTCAGCAGAAAAAGTAGCTGCGTAATTGTAAAATTCTTTAATATGACTGATTTACATTTAGATTCAATGAGGAACTAAGGGAAAGACCAATCATGTTATAGAATTTTGTAACAGCAAAGCTGCTTTTTTTCTGCAGAATGGAATCAATCAACAATCATACACAAAATGGAATTATAATTATGCTGAGGAAATGTATCTGAAAAATGCATTTAAAAATCAGTTCAGATGCTGTGTTTTTTTTATCTAGGTACAGATACAAATATTCGAATTTGAATATCTCAGACAGGTTAGATACATAAAATGTATCTCTATATATGTATCTAGATACATATATAGAGATACTACCAAACACTGGTTACATAAATATTGTAACACTTTGTATGTATAACACTATATAATATAATACATATATTGTAACATACAATTTATATACAATAGTATTTAACCTATTTATTAAATATTATTTAAATTAACATTTTATATGTACATATGTTTGTATTAAAAATGTATGTTTCCATATCAAATATCCTTGCAAGATATATTTACAATATATGTATAGTATTGAGAAATTCTTGAGACTTGTCATATCTCTACATACATAAAAAAACTGACGGATAAAAATAATCGAAATAGGAAAAGTAATAACAGTCAGTGCGCGGTTTTTGATACGCTAAAAAATTTAGAGCATCAAAAAAGCGCATACTGACTCTTATTGTCCTTCCTGTTACGATTATTTTTATAAGTATTTCTGGCATCATATTAGTTTTCATCATATATTAATTGCGTACATAGCGAAAGGATCAAACAGCTAAAGCTATTAGACAAAATTATTTAAAAGTAGTTTATCATAATTTCATATCACGAGTAAATATTTTTCTAGTTTCCATTTACGAAAAGAAACTTACGGACCACGAAGTTGAGCCAATAAAGCTTCATTTTTGCGACATTCAATAGTAAGCTGTCTAACTGCCGTAACATATTTACGTTGCTGCTCTACGAGAGTGACGAGTTGTCGACTAAGCGTATCTCGCCTTCCTTTTTCGTCGGTACATCGTTTTTCCACCTAAATAAAAAATCGTTATTTAAAATTATTTTGTGATTCTGCAGCATTGATTCAATTTATCATTGAATATAATGGAAGTAAAGTAAGAGAAAATTTGTTTTTCCATCGCATGTTACCATTGCTTTGTTGCGCTTCACTCCTGCAACAATTGTCTCAAATTGTTTCAGGAATTGTTCCTTGCCGCTTGTTGATGCCATAGCTCTGTCATAAACGTTAAATTACATGTTAAGATTACGAATATTTTAAAATAAGTAATACTTATAATACATACTCATTATAGTTATCTTGAATAGAATTCAGCAACGACAATTCCTTACTTATATATAGTTTTGTATCATCGAGGGTATTGTATAACGTATAATATTGTTTAGTTTCTTTGTGCTTAGCTGAAACTGTAATATGCTTCTTTAATATAAATTTTACGAAATCGATACTTTTAAACTACAGAATTGTTCTTATGTCTGTAAATAAAAATTAATTCAGTTAACCTTGATTATAGAGTTCCATAAAACGTCGTTGATATTGTGTCAATTCAGAGCGTCCTGGAACATCGTCCAATTGTCTCGTTAAAGATGCAATAATTCTATTCTTTTTAGCCAATTGCAATCGCACTCGTGTTATAATTTCCTTTTGCTCTTCATATTCTTTGACACGATCTTCCTCTTCCATCGGAGCACCATTTTCAATCTCTTGTAACATACCTCGAAGAAGATTCAAGTCCGACTTACACTGTTCTCGAAAATTATGTTCTTGTTCTTTTAATCCTTCATGTACAGATAGAAGTTCCTCTAATCGTTTGAAGGTACTAAAAGTTGAATAAAAATTCTTATTTCGTGTTCTTAATTTCATATTTAAGCAAATACGAAAAGAAAAAATTATTAATATCTAAAAAAATTAATGTATATCTTTTATTTATATAATTAGTTATAACTTTATTACTGCTAAATACCTGTCATTGTCATTAATTCCAATTTCGCGAATTTTTTTAAACGAGCGTTCAATGATTTCTCTTCTCGCACGATATTCTTTTACCTTTTCTACTATTTCAGTAAGTTTATCAGATAAGCTATCTCTCTCTTTTGTTAACTTGCGTACTCTAGATTGTAATGTTGTTTTTTGTTTCTGTAATGCAATTAGAGTGCGCGACGAATCTGTTGCATCACCATCCTGCATTAATAAAAATGTTACATTGTAAAATGATATATGCTTTAATTATATCGCATAAAAATATATTCTATATTTAAATTTACCATTATTTTAGAATTAGCCATAGTTGCATATTTTTCTGCCACTTTAGCAATTTCTTGCGCTTGTATACCAACAATGTTTCCAAGTGTATTTACATTTAAGCGCATCTGTATGAAAAATTAATATTATAATACTATAAAATATAATTTATAATACTATAAAATATAAGTTATAATACTATAAAATATAATTTATAATTGAATCTTTAAAAAAGAACAGGATAGTTTTTTTATAATGTGACTATATTTTAAATAATATGGTACGTTTCATGTGAATTTGGAATACATTTTTTTTAAGTATTACAAATAAAAATAATAAAAATAAACTGCCCTCAATAAAAAAACCTATTTGAAACAGTTTCGAAAGCACTTTTTTTTCTCTTAGCTTGTAACATTTTAAGAAATCTACATACCGAATTTTCTTCTATGATGGATAGAGCAGCGGTGATCTGTTCAGTGGTGTTCTAAAAAATGTAAATTGCTTTGCATGAATTTTTCTACTATATCAATAAATATTTCAAACAGATAAATTAAAAGTGATGCTTTTATAATAACTGATACCTTTTCATTTTTTTCATTATTTGACTCATTTTTTGAATCACTGCTTTTAGATTCTGTTATCGTTGTCATATTTTTAACAGCTTCAAATGGTGCTTCATATTCTAGTACCGTACCAATAAACCTATTTAATTCATCTTTTACAAAATCCTCTTTTTGTTTGAATAAACGCCGTGGTTCGTAAGCTTTCTATTGTGCATTAAAGAAATATAAAGATCAAAGCATATCAATTACACATTTACAATGTTTTTACAAATGTCTTTATAAACAATAATTTATACCTTAACTGAACGTAAATTTTTGATAAGGTTGTTATTAGCTGTTGCTCCAATTTCAGAATCTTCACTAAAAGTATGTTTTTTATGAAACTGATTTAATGCAAAAGCTCTCACAAAATCTGCCATTTCCTGTCGCATTTCCATAGAACGCTTTACTAACCATTGAATAACTGGGAATATATGAATACAGTCTAGACCTTGTATTTGATGTGGTTCTATTCGGTACGGACAATTCATTTTGGGGAGCATAACTACAATTTTCTCTGTCAAGGAACTGCAATACACATATATTTTATATAGCTATATACTAAAGTTATTATTGAAAAGATTTTTTTAGCTAAGAGAATATAACACATATTCACAAAAGGAAATTAATATGCTAAATAAAATCTACATTTTTAAGTATAACATGATGTATAATACATACATTTTTTGACCAATTGTAAGATTCTCTTGAAAAAGCAAATCTACATCTACATCAAAATTACATGACTCTATGCACCAGGTCATCCCGCCGACAACCTAATCAAATGAATTATTTTTGAAATTATATACATAAATTCATGGTGAATAAATTGAATAAAAATAAAATAAAGCTATAAAAGATTTTTAAGCTGTGAGACAGATTTCTTAATCATAACAGTTGTCAACTTTAACGCTTAATATCTCAGTTCGCGAGGCAAAGCGACATTTTTTTCTGCCAGATTCTTTCATTTCATATAAAAACGCGTCGAATAAGCCTAAATTTTATTGATTTTTAAGGTGCGGCACCAATTCTGTATAATTACCAAAATAAAATTGAAGGTCACAAACCTTATCAAAATTTGATAAACCTTTTATTCGTGCTCTAAAGTAACCCGCAGCGACAAGTAAATCAATAATTTCTTGAAATTTAGTGGTTTGTTCCTCATCTTCACGTACATCGACCTAAGAATATAACATTAAACATTTTAATGATTAATATTGTTGCTGATAACTAGACGTCTTGAAATATTTTACCTCTGTACTTTCAGAACTTCTTAATAATCTTTTTGGCATATCGTTCAGCATATTGTGCTTTTTCAGAGCACGTTATTTATTTCAATATATTTCGGATTAAAATTAAAAAGAGAGCGTATTAATTTATTATAACCGTGCAAAAATTTCTAACTCCCTCAGCTGTCAGACAGTTGTCAACGTTATCATTCAGCACAATTCGGCAACAAGAAATGACAAGAAATCGGAAGTCAGTAAGGTGCTGCGCCCTGCCTCGACATCCGAAAGTTGTGAATTAATCGAATTTTCATCCATTTCCATCGCTTCGGTCACTTCCGAAATACACAGAGGGCAACATAGAGTTCGGATGTTAGGTTAGCTTCAAGTTTATGAAGCAATATCTAGAGTATCATTGTTTTTAAAAGTTTGTATGACAATTATTTTCAGTTATTTTATCGTGTACGGGAAAACGCATCGTCATTAATTATTTCACATAAATGATACGTTGCACGACTCTACGTGGAGACGTTATGAGTGAGGACAGAGATTGATCAAGCGCACATTGTGTACTGTAAATTTACGGATTGTGTGTCGCAGTCACATTTTGCCTTTACATCGCTATTTTTCGTATTATGAAGAGACGTCAAAGAAGACCGGTTCTGACGTTCAACAAGCCGCAAGGCAATTATCATGGCGAGCACTCGCAAAGTAAATATTAATGTTTGTTTTTAGTTGATGCATTGATTATGTTGACAATTTTAATTTTTTTCCAATCGTTTTACTTTGTTAAAATTAATCATTAATAAAACATTGAAGATTAGTACGCTATCATCTTATTTACCTTATTTGTATTATTATAGGCAAATGTAAGTCGATAAATAATGTACAACTTGCGCAAAATGAAGCCAATAATCCATTGGCTAATATGTTGTGCCAGTACAACTCTGACAGCGACACAGAAGATCCCAAAAAAGATACACAAAAATTGGACGATCAAGTCAATGATTTCCTTAAGGTATAGCTGATGATAAGTTTTTTGTATAAAGAAATTATATTTATATATGTTTCTTATAGGAAATTCAACTCATTGCACCTGAGCAACCTGTACCAAACATTGCTAATGAACAAGGTTTAGCTACTAAAGCAGTTCCACGATCTGTACGTCATACAAATCAACGAACATGTAAGGATTTTAAATAAAAACAGTAGAATATATATTACAAATATTATTGTGGAGTATTCGAATATCTGAATAATTTCAGTGTGGCAAGAATGCTATGATGAATCTACTGGTTATCCTTACTATTGGCATATCGAAACTAATGAGGTGACATGGGACATGCCAGAGGAATTACGCTTATTACAAAAACAATCGGAAGTAGGACCCGGAACAAAACATCCCGTTCAGGGACCACACTGGGTTGATTTTTCATCTATTAAATGTAATTATCATTTTGTAAACTTTTCTACTTCTAGTATTTCAAAAAGGAATGATATTGACGAGTATCTATTGCAGATCGGCAATCCCAAACAAATATACCGGAAGGTATGATACCACAGGAAGTAGTAGCAAGAAATCGCAACAGATTCTTGCACAATGAAACTTCTAAAAAATGTAATTCGGAAAGCACACCGGAACTCAACAACGAGTCTCCGACGAAGGACGATGATTCAGACGATGGGTATAACAAAAATTATATTTCAAATAGATTTATACTATTTTGACACAATTAAAAAATATATTTTAATTTTACAGACGGATAGAAATGATAACATCTTTCGGTAGCGATGGAAGTGATTCGGAGGATGAGAATAATTCCTCAGATGAAAATAAGATCTCAACGCCTTTATCTGAATCTGGAAAGTCCAATTCAATATCATATGCAAAAAGCGGCGAAATTGGACCTGCTTTCTGTCCAACGGGAATACAATCACCTATTAAAAATTTGTTTCATTCATATAAATCTGATTCGATAGATATATCAAATTCTGCAAGTCATCTTGAACAACTTGACGAGCGTGAAATAACTGAATTTGACAGCAAGACTAGTGTAGTTCAAAGCGAAAAAGAGTTCCTCATGGAAAACAAAAATCGGAAGGATATTAATATACATAACACAATTCCAAAATTAGGTCTTCACGTGTCTTTAGTACCTGGTTATGGCGATGATTCAGATGGAGAAGAGGAAGTTAGGCCCAAACAAGAGACAAAGCCTTTGTTTCCGATTGCGCAGAATGAAGAATACGTAAATGTAATAAACTTGTTAAAAAATACCCATGATGTTCCCGCAAAAAATTCTGGCAATGTACAAGCTTCCGATCAGTGCAGTGACAATAATGAAGATACTCAAGAGACAAAAAATGATAATGAAAGAATGGAGGAGAAGGAATCAAAGCCGGACGAAGATAAATCCAAGACAAATATATTTTTGGAAGATATGCAAGTGTGCGGCAAGGCTTTTCAAAGAAAGAAGCGGATAGCATTTGATGGTATCAATTATATTGATTATGTTTTTAATTTTATTCTAGTAATTATATATAACAAATTTACACACACACACACACACACACACACACACACACACACACACACACAAAAATTATATTTCTTAAAATTATGTATATCAAATTTTGTATTTATCCTAATTTATGTCTTTATGTTTACGTAAATAAATAATTTTCTCTATAATTTTTCAGTTACATCCACTAAAGTTAAACAAAGTAATAATACATATCAGGAAAATATAATTCGAGATGATAACAGCAGTGATCTTATGAGTAGTGAAACTATTTCACGCAATGCCGAGGATGGTGACGCGGGTATCGATAATCAGTTTTGTGCAGAAAACCAAAGAGAATGCGATGAAGCGCATAAGGAAATAGAACAGTGCATTAGTATTAAGACTGAAGAAAAGATCAGTTCGAAAGACGAAGTATGCGACTCAGAAGTACCTGCAGAACACAAAACAATATCGAATGTTGTTGGGGAAAAGGCCAACGAGGAGCTGAATAACTTGTCTCAGATTATAACGGAGAAATTGAAGTTTCTTTCTGAAGGAAGAGAGAGTGTCTCTGCTGTTCAAACAATGCAAATTCAACTACAAGTTAGTGCTAATTTTTATTATTTGTTTTTTTATATTACACTGTTTTTGAAACATTTAACAATCGATATGAATTTTATTAATATAAATTATCGTATTTATTATAGACATTATCTACTGCATGGACGGCAAGCAGCTTAGAGGACAGTTACTTTCAAAAATGGCTAACTAATACAAATCATGAATTGGAAAGACTAGAGCAAGATGCAGCACCAGCTGGTTGGCTATGTCAATGGGATAGGTATGGTATTCCGTATGCAATTTGCATTTTATGATATAAATATAGGTACCTCACAAAGGGGAATATCTATGTTTAATGGCTTTAAGTGTATCATTAATTTATATAATGAATATATTTATATATATATTTTTTATATTTATACAAACTATCACATACAATTGCCATGTACTGCTACTGTTATGATTTCATCCATCATTGAAAAGTTTATTTATTTTTAGTAAGAATTTATAGGTGCAAATTAGTTAATTAATATAGGTTTAGTATACTAATTTAAAAAAAAAAACATTGAGCAATTTAATATTTATGACTCTTTTTGTAGGGTGTATACATTTCTAATGTTTCACAAGTTTTGATCTACATTCAAATATATTTTTTAATTTATTACTTTTATACAATTTATATTTTTCTACAAATTAACTCAAGTTAAAATAGGTCATAAATATTAATTTATTAATATTCAAGTAAATACTAATTTATAAATAACCAATGTTGCATTATATACAATGATTATATACAATAGTCTTAATATTCAGTAGATGCATTTTCTTTTAATTTAGAACAATGATGCAGCAATGATACATTTTATTACTCCATACACAATAGTTGTTTTAGCTTAAGTGATGGTGCAAAGCTCGTAAAGATTACGGTCTCGAAGTGTAACATTTCCTCTTAGTGCTGAATCAAGCCTTTGGTTTTGTGATACTGTCAATGTGATAATTAATACGTGTTGAGTGATACATATTTTTAACATAAATGCTACGATAGTAGAAGCGATAATCGAGTAACAAGTATGTTACTTGAATTAAGGATATATTTGTGCTATGAATAGTTTGAGAGAAGTGCAAGGTTAAAGTAACATTTATCAAAATGAAGACAAGAAGACGCAAAAAAGTGAAAGAACTCTCATTCTTTGATCATAACAAGATTAATAATTCGCGTTTAGTATAATAATGTATTAATGATACGTAGCAAAAATGTATCGCTTTAGTGAATGATTATAAAAATATTTAACCGAATCCATTAACGTATGACGATTAATATTTTTGTAAAAGATGCTTATTAGCACAGAAAAAGTATTAAATTGCTTGTACAATTTAATAAGTGATATTATTATTCTGATTCTGCTCATGGATGCGTTTTAAGACCGAAAAAGATTTCGGCGCGCGGTATGCAGAATTAGAATGTAAATATAAATTCACATAAGAAATATGAATATGTATTTAAGCACTAAGATCCGCTTCAACCAAATACTTTCTTTCATTTAATTATATTTAACAGAACATTTTATGTTATTGTTGACAGTGATATAATTATTTAAAATAAGAAAAAATAATTTTTTTCATTGTAACTTAAAGGGAATTATTGATTGAAAAAAATTTTTTATATTTATATGCATATAAAGATTAATTTTGCGTTATTTATCAAAGCAAACGAATATTGTACAGTTTTATAAGATATTATATTTGTCTTGTTAGATACATTCAATTTTTTAATAAAATGTGAAATAAAAAGAAACTATATGTTTACGCACACGCTTCAAAGTGTATAAGAAATTTATCTGGCATTATAATTTTATCCGTTAATCTATTCGATAACGAACAACGATTAACAATGTAAGTATTATCCTATCTATTATATTTATCAATATCTGGTAATCCTTGAAACATGCTGATCGCAAATAAACCAGATATTATTAGGATTTAATTTTCATCATTATTTTCCCTGCACTTCAGTCATGATACCTCACTTCTCCTTCACTTTGCTGTAATCTCTCATTAATGTTCCCTATGAGAGAGAGAACATACTCTGATAATTACATAATTACATCTCCCATCTCTCCTGTAACGAAAGGCCTTCGTCGAGTAAAAACGAGATACGACATTGCAGGTAGGAGTGATTACTAGATTATGTTCTATTAATTTTTGCTTTCGTTTAAGAAACCGGTGATGCGAGTACACCGCAACGAATGTTTCACCACGGAAACATTATTTAAGCGTGTATTAAATGTAACATAGAGTCATGTAACATAGAAAATTACAATAAGAAATTGCACTACCATCACTGATGTCTCATGTATTCCATTTTGGTCGGGGGATTTTTCTAGGTCACATAAGCGGTATTACTATCACAATACATCCACTGGGACATTACAGTGGACTTATCCTGACACCGGTATTGCCGGTGGTACTGAAGAGATGGAATTATGCACTACTCCGCCACCAGAATCAGAAGAATTATTAGTCACAGGTATGTTATTTATGTACGTAAGATATTCTTTATAACAACAGAAATATATAAATATATAAACTATCTACTTCATCATCATTGTTATGTTAGAATCACCTGGGATAAAAAAAATTAAGGAGAAGCAAACTGAAGAGATGGATGATAATAAAGCAGATGAAGAAAATATAACAGATAGACGTCCTGTAACTTTGGAAGCACCACCTCCACCACAGATATCTAATCCGAGTCCACCACCGCCTCCGAGAATATTCGCGGAAGATCTAAAGAAGGACAAGAGGAAAAGGGACAAGTCCGACGATAAATTTTTGGACGCAAAGAGGAAGCGTTTAGGAAAAGGTAATGAATTATTAGTACTAATACGACAAGGTTTATAATTAAGGGGATGGGTGGAATAAAGGCCTAATTGTAAAATCTTGATATTAATAAAAATTAAAATAACTTGCTACTTTTTTATTATACACAAATGAATACAGTATCGAATGAATTTATGTAATGTCTTTAAGAAGTTACATGTTACAATACTTTTCTATTACGATCAATATTACATTGAAAAAGCTAATTGCTAGAAAAAGGGCCGAAGTAGAATTGTGCCTTTATTCCGTCCATCCTCTCAATTACATTATTATTCGTATTATAACACTATATTTGCATGTTATAGCAAATCGATTAGTGTTTTTTAATTATTTTATGAGAATAATATAATTATTAATGCTAAATATAATTTAATTATAGTAAAATACAATAGAAAGATTTGTTGTTTTTTGTTCACAGACAGAATAATTACTACGGACACACAGGTGATCAGTCCTGTCTTAGAATCTTTACCCTACGCGCATCCACAGGTAGCTGTGTCATCTCAAACTTCAATACCTCTGAATCACACAAATATGGAACCTCTGCCACCTGGAGTGGACTTGCCGGAGACATCTTACGAAGCTGCTACCTTGAAAGGGATAATATATAATGCGGCATCGCAACCAAGTAATGCGATTTACGCGCCTTCGATTGCTGATCCAACAATACCTATTCTAAGCCATCAGGCGGGTCTGCTCCAGGAACCATTTGTTCATTATCCAACCTTTCATCAACATTTGCATAACGTAAGTACATTTCTATGCTTGAATATTAATAATTAGGTGTCATGTAGTATATTGTAGAAATACCAGAAACGAAAGATATGATATTACGTACCTTGCGTGCAACAAAATATAAGTATAAGAAAAAAATATAGTGGTAAACGTACAATTAAATACATTTTCTTATATGTATAATAGAAATGTAACAAACATATAACAAACATATAATAAATATAAGAAACAAAAACAATTATAGAATATATTATATGTGAAAAAGTTTTATGTAAGTAATGAAATATGTATAATGTATTTATTTGTTAGCAGACAATTGCAGTTGCAAACAAACACAGTGGACAGAGTGCAATTCAGTTCATGGTCGGATATGCGCCGATTTATACAAACAACAAAATCATCGCCAAACCGCCAGTCAAGGCCTCGAAGGAATCTTTGGGGTCTGCGCTTGATTCCTTTTACAACGATATTGCGCGTATTGAGAAGACGGAAACAGAACGAACAGGACAACTTCAGGATATCGCTGCCACGATAACGGAGCAAGTATCTATCTCGACCGAAGAAGTGAAGCCGGAAATGGAAATGGAAAATGTGCCAAGCGATATAACAATGAAGGAACGGAAGAAAAAAAAGGTAGCACTTCTGCTTATCCCCCCCCATCGTATTTATTTCTTTCGATACTATTTTCCTGGCATAAAAGTAGTAAAAAGTATTTATAGAAAAAGTGAATTTTCACATTCCGATTCTTTATGTTATGTTAAATTAAATATATTTAGTAATTTTTGCAAATGAAAGTTATATACTCCAATTATTTGTATATATAACAAAGTAAATCTTTTTAAAATAATAAAATTTTTCAGAAATTTTTCCAAGTATACATATTTCAATGGTATTGAAAAAATCAAATGAATTAACATATATCGATAAGTCAAATACTGATACTTTTAGGCGAGGATTAGCAACAGCAAAAAACACAAGGAGATGTCGAGCATGGTGGCAAAGTGGCAAAGGGTACAAAAGAATCTAGAAGACACTGTATAAATAATAGAGAAAGCGATTTAAATAAAATAATTAATAACTATACGATAAACGATATTACGTAGACTGTGTTATTAATATCTTTAGATTTCATTGTACATATGAGTTGTTAAATATTTCTTCTATCGTGAAACTATCTTTTAAGTTTTTATCTATGATCTGATATGTATTTGCGTGTTGCATGAGTCTCGCAGTAATATTCGTATTATTGAACATAGTACTTATCTCTTGTGCGACTATTATCTATTTTATGATTTATTATGAATTTTGTGATAACTTTTATGCAAGTAGAAACAAGTGATCTACTATTATGATTATTGTTATTGCATATTTATTATATAGACCATAGAGTCAAAAAAATGTGAGTGCATCTTTCTAACTTGATGCATTTGTTCCAATGCCGAGAGATACTACATTTCATTGAATCGATGTAAATTATTTTTTCATATGTACTAAATGCGATATTCTATTCTTTACAGAATATAAAGAATGCAATCCTTTATAGGCTTTATTGCAAACAAAAAAAAATAAAATACAACATTTGATATTTTACTGTTGTTTTATGTTGAAAACTTTAAAACTGGAAAAATTGATTTAATTTATATTTATTTTATGATTTTTAAATATTTTATAAAATATTATATAGCATAAATATATATAATATCAATTTTTATAGTATTTTTCTTATCGTCACTATTATATTTTATAAAGATTAAAAGATCTTTTACATTTCTTTCTAAACATATATGTTTATCTCCGTTATGTTATATGTATACTTATTTGTGCAATATATAATTTATAATA